CCAAATTCTTGAATCGATTTTGCTTGACAAGCCTCTCAAGGCTGCGGTTCTCTCGGTTGGTTGTGCATCTTTTTCCTACCACTCAACTTTCTGTTAACATGCTTGGATACAGCACTCTGTGAACAGCCAGTTTCTTTGGCAATGAATGTTTGTGGCTTACCCTCCTTGTGAAGGGTGTCAATGATTGTCTCCTGGACAACTGTCAGATCAGCAGTCTTCCCCATGATTGTGTAGCCTAGTGAACCAAACTGAGTGACCATTTTGAAGGCTCAGGATTATATTTATATTTATATAATACAGGAGTTTCACTATTTGAGTTGAATTACTGAAATAAATGGACTTTTCCACGATATTCAAATTTATTGAGATGCACCTGTATTTTAAGACATTAAACTACTCTGTTATATAATAGTATAATCATAATCAAGTGTAGCTGTTCACAAAAAGTTCAGTTAACAAGTCAAACTTTTTAAAGTCATATCTACTTCTAACATGTAAATAATTGAAAAGTTTTAAAAGTGCTTTACACAAGGTTTTACATCACTGTACTTGCTCACACTTACATGTTTCATATTGGACCACACGTCCCAGTGACCCAGAGTCCTGCTTGTCTTAATGAGAATGTGGCCAAATAGCCAAGTTGTTTGATAAACTGATTATTAATGTGTCAGTGTTTTGTTTTGTCTGAAATGGACAGAACTATGTGATATTCTGTGTTAAACTGGTTGGGATGTCTGTGCACTGACACTCAGGTATGCAGAAATATTTTGAGACAAACTTTAGTCAGTTCCTAGAAGAAGTTCTGCACTGGTTCCATTCTCTCCAGCCTCCAGGCCTCACACCCTCTGCACAGAAAGACTAGAAAACGGAAATGGAAATGGCACGAATGTTCCACGCAGTTTCAGGTTTCACTCATATTTGTTCTTATCAATCAAGTTTTTTGTTTTGTGATTAAAATCTTGGCACATATGATACTGTGGAACTGAAACGTACTCTGAGACAGAAACTGTTTCATTGCATTGGGTTACACTGTAGCCAGTAGCTGTTCAGGTGTACTGTACTTTGCCAGACCTGGGTAAAAAAAGAATGAAATGCAGTTTATTTTTTAAAATAAACATATTAAAAGTTGGATCTCAGAGTGCTGACAGCTCTAACACACTGAGCTGGTCTTGAACAACAAATGCAGACTTGAAGACTCCTTGTCACTCAACATCGTCTTCTGAAGTCCTAAAAAAGCTGTCACAGGCTCTGTGCGACTCTGAGGGTGTGCCTATGCTGGTGTGTACGTCATGGATAATTGTCTGTCTGGTGGTGTGTGGCTGCCTGACCTCTGACCTCAGGGAGGTATCCACCGGTGTGTCAGTCTTAATGAGTGATGTTAAGCACAGCTGCTGTTGTAAGAAAATTACATTTAGTCAGGCTGTTCTTTGCTATTAATTGGATCAGTGTGGTGAATGTAAGAGCACCGACTAGTGTGGGGGTTGTTTTTGTTCATGTGTGCTGAGGAGGAATAAAAAGGTAGAGGCAGAAGGCGGAGACAAAATAAGTTGACTGCTCCATCTGAAGGCTGTGTGACCTCCGTCTTACTGACCCCTCACACGGCTTGTGTGTGTGTTGTGTTTCTTAGACCTTGAATACACCCCAAATACCAACTTACTGTGTAATTATGTATAAAAACACAAAGTACACTACAACAAAACTACGGTAGGTACATCCCTGTGCACTATCACTAAAATGTAAAAGGATTAAAAAGGACATCTTGACGCACTATAATAATTTTGTGTAAGGTGTTTGATGTCTATTTTTAAACAAACAGGGTAAATGGACGGCATTGAACATTCAGGCCAGCTCATCCTCAGTGCAACAAAAGTGATCACAGCTGTGACCAGTGCATGCCAACAGTGGTCGTAGTTGAAAAATGACGGCATACCCAATTCACTGCTTTCTTTGCCTTGCATTGAACACTAAGGTCTTCTGACTTGGCTTTGGTGTTGCTGAGGCTTCCTGAACCTTCTCTCCACACAGATGTACGTTAGTTTATATTAAAAGCTATTTTTTCCCTCCACACAAAAACATAACATCTCTGTTTTGTTAAATACATCTGTCAAGTCATAGAGGTGGGAAACACTGGATTCATGGAGATGGAAATTAAAAACCAGGGAGGATACTGCACCCCCTGCCCCCACTCCCTTAACATTACTTCACATTAGTGTGGACCACGCCTAAGAAGGGCTGAGCAAGTTACACGTTTGCAAGAGTGAGCGACTCCATGTGTCCCAGACATGACCAGCTGGCTCTTGGCAGCTGTGACTTATCTCTACCATTCCTCAGGAGCTTTTTAAAGACTCGAAGGAACGTCCAGCCCGCCACACAAGGACGTGATTTCATGAGCTTACACTGGAATGAAATGCACGAGCTGCACATAGGGCTCATCTCGGGAGTACGACTATATTACTGTGTGTTTTTAGTACGTCGCAGTGTGTGTTATTTCTGTGTCTGTTGAAGTGAAAGTGTGACTAGGTTTTGCACAGATACAACATGTATCATCTGTGCCAGGAAACGTGGAGGCTTGCACTGTTTTTCCAGTTACCATCTTTCTGTCCGTTCATCCCCCTTCCTTCTCCTTTTCCCTTTCTCATACTAAATGATCTCTTTAGCTTTCAAAGCTACATGAACTCATCTCTGACCTTTACTCACCTGGGTCACAAGTTGGACTTCTGGCAGCTGGATGTGGAAGAGTTCAGTAGATGGTCATCATGCCGAGGCCAGGGAAAATACTTGTTTCTGATTGGCTGGCAAGTATCTCTCAAAACAAAGTAGTGGCTGCACTCTAGCAGGTATACACACACTTTGCAGGTCAGCTACACACACAGACATACTTGGTAATACATGCTCAGATGCTGCCTTCTCTAGGGCACGCACAGAGATATTTGTCAGAATATACATTCATACACACACACACACACGCACAGAGGAGTTTGCATAGCCTGGGCGCCATTGATTAGGGTAGTGACATTGCTGCAGGAGCGTGTGTAGGGGCAGACTTGTCACCGGACACCTGAGTAAGTCTGTGTCTCTGTATGAAAGAAGGTGACAAAAATGTGTGTGTGTGTCTGTGTTGTCAGGGTGTGTCGCGCAGCTGCTCCCACCGCCCCTCCATCGGTGACAAGTCTGTCTATTTGCCGCCTGTGTTTAAACATTTAAGGTATGTGTTTTTTCCCCTAGGTTTTGCAGCCAGGTAGAAAGTGGTGCTTCTTATCCTGAACTATGCATTTCTGACTGGAGTTTTTGTTTGCATGTGTGTGATCTCCTGGTCCGAGCTGAGGCGTCTCACTGTGACGGAGCCGAGCACACAGACAGACAGGAGGGGCCACAAGGTTAAATAAACCCAGAGGAGTT